AATCACCGACGACTGTTTCCAGTCATTCCTACGTAGTGGATTATGACATATTGTTTGAAAGATTACTAACACGTGAATCGTTCAGTTTATAAAATGAAACGTGTGCACCCAAGTGGCGCAAGTAAAATAAAAATAGATAGGAAATATTTCAAAATAAAAACAAATTCAAGTCAAACTGTTTGAACTTATGGTTAGCAGGTTAGCTGGTTTCAGTTCCGATTCTGCTAACAATGAGAAGTCGCAAACAGGCAGGCGGAAATCATCAGAAGTTTTTTGTAAGCCTTACAACGTTTAAATTAAAATACTTTTGATTATTTCTGTTTGTGTTTGTTGCTGAAGTAAACAAAAGCCTCAATGACAGTTTCAAACTTGGCGTTGACTTTGTACACAAAGATACGATTATGGACAGTAATAAGTGGCCTAAAAACACCACCCTGAAGCGTTTTTTATTCTGGAAGATTCGCAAAACGAGTGTAACCTAGATTTCTCAAATGATCTTACTAGGCCGAGGTCCAGGCTGCCTACTCCTGAAACAGGGCCTAGGCAAATAAATGTAAATAGTTTTAACTCTGACATGGTGATAGCCACCGTGAATGTTCAATGTCTTCGAACTAAGTTAACTGTTCTTGACCTGTTTCTAAATGAAACCAACCCCACTGTGTTATCTATAACTGAGCACTGGCTAAGATCGGAAGAATCTGAATTTTACTCCAGGATAGGACCTGATCTTGTTCTAGCCTCAATCTACACCCGACAAGAATTTATACATGGGGGGTCAGCGATCTTTGTAAATAGAAATATTAGTTTTAAGGAAATCTGTGTAAACAACTTTTGTATAGAAAAAACCATAGAAATTGTAGCCATTGAACTGCTGAACACTAGGCTAATAGTATTATCGCTTTATCGCTCTCCCGATGGTGATTTCCCACAATTCATAGAACAGCTGAATGATTGTTTAAACTTTATTTCTCGTTCTGGAAAACAAATAGCCCTTGCTGGGGACTTTAACATACATCTGGAAAAACAGTCTAGGGAGGAAAATGTATTCTCCAATCTGCTCCGTACTTATGGACTTTACATTACAAGCCGAAAACCCACCAGAAATACTGCCTGCCTTGATACCATAGCAACAAATCTGAACACTTGGGAATACAGAACGTCTGTCGTTGACCCTACTGTAGCTGATCACTCTGCAGTGATTATGCAGATAAAACCAAGCGAAGACCCTGACCTAGTCAGTGGGCAACCTAAAGTCCCATGGCAGGCCAGCTACACTGTTTCCAAACAGATAGTCAGAGATGAGCTCCTGCCTGTTCTGAAGTATGAACTGAGGAAAGTTGATTGGGCAAATGAAACAAGTATAGGCCTAACTCAGAACCAACTGCCTTTTGATAGCTTTATCAGTGTTTTTAACTATAAATTCAATTCTATCTTTCCTACAACAATTTTCAAAAAAAAGTCAAATAGGCCTTGTAATGCCAGGCGTGGATGTGCGCAGCAGGATAAACCTTGGTATTCACCTTACCTACGTCATCTTAAAAACCTCGTTAAGATTATCAATGACCATGTCAAGTCCACCGAGTCACCGATTGAGAGAAATAAATTATTTGCCCTATATCTTAAACAAATAGGCTGTACAGAAATAAAGTTTCAGAGGCCAAAAAGGCTTTCAATGTAAAAGTTATAGAGCAGTCCTCGAATAAATGCAAAGCTGCCTGGAGTATCGTTAACCAGCATCGACCAAAAAGGACTAAAAGTTGGCTGTTCTGCCAGCCCTGATGACTTCAACGGCTTCTTCCTTGATTCCGTGGATGAAATAGTGGCCAGCCTACCCTCCGTCAACTTTAACCCTCTGAACAACGTAGTGGGACCAGGTCTTCGAAACTGGCGTGAAGTAACCCCAGAAGAGATCTGTCAGGTTGTTAAGAACTTAAAGAACTCTAAAAGCCCGGACATCTATGGGGTCTCATGTAATGTTCTAAAATCTGTAATCAGTGATATTGCCTCTCCTCTGTCATCGGCTATAAACAACTGTCTCAGGGATGGTATTTTCCCGGATTCCCTCAAGATAGCGCGGATAGTTCCAGTCTATAAAAAAGGTGATACCGAAGAAATTAAAAACTATAGGCCTATATCTGTGCTACCAGTGTTGTCTAAGGTAATAGAGACTACGATCAAGAACCAACTATGCAGCTACTTTGAGTCGAACAACTTACTGAATGAAGCTCAACATGGTTTTCGTAGAGGGCGTTCCACAACAACTGCTGTTTTATCCTTGGCTTCCAGAATAACTGACACCTTTGAATCTGGAAACTCACTGGCTCTCACCCTCTGTGATTTGAGTCGTGCGTTTGATTGCGTGCCACACGACATTCTGCTTAGCAAGCTAAAATCATATGGGGTTGAAGGCACCACGCTACAAACAATCTCCAGTTATTTAACTAATAGGAGGCAAATTGTATCCCTGGAGGGAGCGAATTCGGCCAGTAAAGAAATCTCCTATGGTGTTCCCCAGGGCTCTGTCCTAGGGCCTCTCCTTTTCTTGATATTAATTAATGACCTAGGAATAGACGGACAGGCATTACTATTTGCTGATGACACAACATTGGTGACGGAAGGTAGATGTATTGAACGGGTTAAGAGGGAAGCAAGTACATTGCTGGAGACAACAATGGAGTGGTTCGCTTCAAATAAGTTAAAATTAAACGAGGACAAGACCCAACTCCTGATCTGCACTCTTGGGAGACAAATTGCTGCTGAAGAGAATCAACCAGTAAAGTTGCTTGGTTTCTGGCTTGACCAGAAATTAAACTGGGATCACCATATAGCCCAGATTTGCACCAAATTATCTCGAGTGATCTTCCTCCTCAGAAAGCTACGTCATGTGGTCACTGAGCAGTACCTTGTTACTGTCTATTTCTCGCTGTTCCACAGCCATATCTTGTATGGTATACTCATTTGGGGTCACGCTCCCGCATGCAGTAGATTGTTGATACTCCAAAAGGAGGCGTTGAGAGTGATAACCTCTACTGAAATAACAGGCAAAGATTTTACTCATAGGCCTATCTTTCAACGTCTCGGCATACTGACTGTTTATGGACAATATGTCCTCAATTGTCTGATACACGTACGCCAGAACATCTCTAAGTATGGAAGAAGACAAGATATACATCCACTATTAAGATATACATCAGCATAACACCAGGAACGCTAGAAACCTCGACACCCCTCAATGCAGACTGTCCAAATCCCTGAATAGCTTCCCAGTGACCGCAATTAAACTCTACAATAGTCTGCCTGAAGAAGTCAGAAGTATGGATGTGGCTGGGTTTAAAACCTCAGTGAAGGAAAAACTTCAAAATAGGCCTATTTACACATTTAAAGAATTAGATGACGTGCCACTTTTTTAACTCGCCGCCATCTCAGTTTACTTTTTAAAATAAATTTGACGCAGTCCATCCGGAATCCCGGTCAGAGACGAAGACTTCAAGTATTCAAGTATTCAAGTATTCAAGTAAGTACAACTATGGAGTAAAGTGTGTGATAAACAGTAAATGTGGTCCATTCATAGATGTATTCAAAATTCAAAAGTGGTACGTGATATGCTTTTTTACCATGTATGGCAAAAGCTCCAAGAACTAGGTTTTGGTCTTATTTTAAAATTTAAGACTTAAAACAATTTTAAGAATAGGCCTTTAAATTTTAATGGCAGCTGTAGAGGTGAATAGAAATACGAGCAAATTTTATATCAAATTTAAATTGCTTGGAATTAAATTTATAAATACAAAGATTTTAATTTATGGAAATTTAGCAATTATTAATTTAATCAAAATTATCAAAAACTGTTAATCATTTAAAACCACCTTAGGCCCCTTTTATGCACCTGCGGCATGCACCAAACATATATGCTAACTAATTATTGCCGTGAGAGCACCCCATGGTCCTTGTTTTATTTCTGGCTGGGGCCTGAAATCAACATCTAGCCGAGGGCCTCCAATGGAGCCAGACCGGGCCTGCTTAAGAGTTTCTGAATTATTTTTGTGTTAATAAAGTAATTTAAAAGAACCAAACAAAACTGATGACATCATGGCATAGAGGTTTTCTCTGAACTGGAGGTAGCACTGAATGAGATAATTCCGAGATAAACCACTATTTGTACCAAGGGATAAAGCACATTGAACTTAGTAAATTATAACTAGGTAAATTATAACTAGGGGAATAGATTATTGTGGGATTGTAAATAGGCCTATATAAAGCCCTAGTTGGTACCAACATAACCAAATTTTACAGCAGCGTCTCGATTTTCTAGCAGAGTTGCCTTGCCAGTGCTACCTCCAGTGTCTAGCTCAGTGGGGTAAGGTTAAGTGTGTAGCAGCTGACATGCACACCACCAGTCCTAGTACTGCTCAAGATGGATTAGGTGGCAGTGGTGTAGTTGTAAATTTTCCAGTGTGGGAACACTTACACTACTATTAAGCAGCAAGGTGGTTTTGAAAAGTATCCTTTGCCATTCTTTAAGTTACTGTTTGTTAAATCTTTTGCTGTGACCAAAGTGTTAAGTCATTTTAGTTGATAATTAACTACCACAAGACTTAAAAAACCACCATTAAAGTGCTGGTTTTATTTACAGGATTAAATCTAAGTTACAGCTACGACTAAAAAGGGCAGTATATATATAATATATATATATATATATATATATTATTTCCATTGAAGTACAATGATAATGAAGCAACTTTGGCTTCAATTTCAAGAATGTGGACAAACTTTGATAAAATATAGTACAACTTTAAGTACAAATTAAATTAAAGTTTGGAACTACATCACATAAACTGTGAGAAATATAGGCTAAACTAAAAAAATAAACAATCCATTTTAGGACTGGCATTCAATTGTTTTGTAACTATGAGACAAAACCAATTTAACAAGCTCTCACTGTTAAATTACGAAAAAATAATGTTACCAATCTACTTATTTCATTTCCTAAGGATTTTTTTTACCTGGCAATTTGTTTTGAATTTTTGAAACACAAAAATCAAATGGAGAGCTCTGTTTTGCATCAACTGACTGACTTCCCATAAAATTTGTTTTGAAATTTTGAAAAGAATCTTCTTTAGAAGGTGTTTGAGCTTTGATTTGTGAAGTACCATCTGACTTAATTCCTTGTGTAGCATCATTTTCCGATGTAAGTAGACAGTCAGCTTTAGCTTCAAATCCAAACTCGTAAACTAGGTTTTTCTTTTTCCCCAAGTTTATCTCTAAATATTCAGTAATGTCATTGTATCCAAGACTTGATGCTGCTTCATTTAATATTGGTGACAACGTGTTTGTCTTGGGAACTTCCTGCATTGATTCCTCAACATCTGATTTTTCAACAATGACAAACTCATTATCTGAACTATTATTGTCTTCCATATCTGATATTGATAGATTTTGTTCAGTTACTCCTAGAGGGTCATTTAACAATGGACCAATGATGCTGCTGTTGCTAATGCCACCAAGGGAGCCTCTTGGGAGTTTACCCAGTTTACTTCTTTCGGTTTCTTCATGAAACTCTGAAGATGTATTGCTAATAGCCATACTGTTTGCTTCCATCTTCTTATAACTATTCATATTTGTAACTTGTTGGACCTTGTTAACTACTTTAACAGGAGTTGATTTTAATTTTGAGCTGTTTATTGAGGGCCCATTATCTTTCTGGCTTGAATTTTGGACCAAAGAAGATTCTTCAGGAAGTGAGGAAAATAATTTTAAATCTACCATTTCAATTGATGGCATTCCAACATTTTTCTTAGATGAACATTCTGAAGAAATGTTGGCATCTGCTATAGTGGATGCATTCCCACTTTTAATTCCCAAGGTAACATCTGCGCAAGATATACTTTTAACAAAGTCTGCAAGATTCATGTCTGAGATATTTATCGAAGAGAATGATTCTGCTTTGTTTTTTATTGGGACTTTCAAAGTTACACCAGATGTTTCAAACCCAGAAGTTTGTAGATTTTCTTTGACTTCATTATCATGAAATGAAGGATTACTAATTTTATTTGCTTCTCTTGCATTTTGCTCTTCCGTAAAAGCTTTAGTTAAGGGACTTTTTGTACTTTTGTCATGTAAAAGTGCCAGCACCTTAGCCGGTGAAGATGTTTCAAGTTCAGTTAGCCTTGTTTCCAACCCTTGCCATTTTTTATCAAACCTTTGCATCGTAAAGTGTATGTCAATAGTAGACAATCGAGAATCCATTATACTTAGACGAGAACTGAGATCTGATAGATTACAGTCAAATTTAGAAAATCTATCATGTAGTGATTTCATATTCTCGCTCATCTTTCTGAGTTCAAGTAACACATGGTTTGAACAGGTGTCATGATCAGTTAATGTTCCAATATCAGACGACTTTTTCACTTTTGGTTTGGTACAAGCAGGATTACAGTTGTTTTGATCACTCATATCAGATGAAATAGAAGCAATCTGAAACAAAAATTGTAAATAACAATGAGCTGAGAATTTACATGCATTCAACCTGCTCAGGCTTCAAACAAATGAACACAGTGATTTCAATATTGTTATTCCATAAGATTACAGGGTTCCCACAAATACAGGGTGATTCAAAAAGGACTTTACAACTTTGAAAATTCATATAAATCTTATTAAACAAGGTACAGAGCTGGTTTTGGGGTTGTTTTAAAGGAAAACACTTCAAGTTTTTTTACATTAAACTAAAGATGTTCTACGTGACTTCCGTTGGATTTGGGGAAAATAATTATTTAGGTATGAAAAATAGTGAAAACCGTTAAAAATTTGAGAGAAATTTACAAATTTTTGAAAGTAGGGCGTTTTTTTGACGGTGAAGGAGTGCGATACACCCACTTCTAGATGTGCTAGGGAGTTTAAATTTCGCACACTTGTAGTTCTTGGTCCCAAACCACCCATAAAATTCCAAAAAGTCACATTTTCAAATTTTAACCCACCCAAAAATTTAAAATGGCGGACCTCTGAAAACGACAAAACACGTTTTTTTTTAAACGGCTACAGCTCAAAAACGGTAAGAGCTAGAAAAGATTTGAGGAAAAAACGTAGGTTCGGGATTAAATTTCCTACAAGACACTAATTATGCGTTTTTCAAAAATCGCACTCCTTCACCGTCAAAAAACGCCCTACTTTCAAAACTTTGTAAATTTCTCTCAAATTTTTAACGGTTTTCACTATTTTTTCATACCTAAATAATTATTTTCCCCAAATCCAACGGAAGTCACAAAGAATATTTTTAGTTTAAGGTAAAAAAATTTTAAGTGTTTTCCTTTAAAACAACACCAAAACCAGCTATGTACCTTGTTTAATAAGATTTATATGAATTTTCAAAGTTGTAAAGTCCTTTTTGAATCACCCTGTATATCTTAAGTGAATTCCCTGACTTTCCCTGACCTTCCATGACCAGGATAAGACATGGAGGTAGCAGCGGAGGTTGGAAATGCCCTCCTTGTAAAAAACAATAAACTTAAAGAGGATGTACACAAGCTGAGTCTTGAAAATGCCAAACTGTCTTTTCAAGTAACAAAACTAAAAAATGAAAATGAAGCAGCTTGAGAAGAAAAAATATACACTCTATTAGACCAAAATGAAGCATTGTTAATGAAAAACAACTCGTTAGTGGAAACCATCAATAATCTTGAAAAACAGCTCGACAATGAGAAGATGCTTTGCAGTGACTTAGAACACACCTTTGAAGAATTGGACAAGGAAAAAGAAGACACATTAAAAGAATATAGACATAGACATACAGTAGACTCCCTCTAGTTTGGCCACCTCGGGACCGGACCACTGGCTGGACTACAAAATGGCCGGACTAACCGGATGTAGTGCATTTTACATAATCAAAATACAAATAATAGTATTGCGCAATCATGATATGTTTAGTCATTAACCTTGGTTCAGTAATAAAAACTGTAATGTTTAAAATCACGTTTGCTTACTCAAGCAAAACATAAATTACACAACTCTGTACGTGCAGCAATAAATCACGTAAAGAACAGAACAATATGAAGTCTAGTACTGTACTGCAAGCTACTGCTATCATAGTCAGCATAGACTACTACTACATGTTGTTTCAGAACATAAGAATGTCAATAAAACATTAGATAACTCATAAAACAGCATAAAATCATAGTACTTAGTCTTAAAGATAATAAGGACAGTCGTAAAATAGGATAAAGATAACAATGGATGACATAAAACACCGCTTATACTTTCTTCTTCTTTCTTTGGTTTCTCTTCATCCACACATTCAATAAGTTGCCATTGCCATGGTTACTAGTCACCCAATCACAAACTGTTGTGAGATAGCAAGCGCACAGCAGACAGTTGTGTAAAGAACAGATGATTGTCAGTGCAAGCGGACAGCTTGACCTTAAAGCTAACGATGGCTATTTCTTTGTTCTGCTTCAATTTATTTTTGTCAAATAAACCGTGGTGTTTCAAAAACAATAATGGGGGAACCTACCGCATAAAAAATGGTCCGAAATATTTAATTATACATTGCATTTCAACACATTAGACTGAAGAAAAACTAGGAATTAAACTATAAAATGCTCTTGGTATTTTTGAGGTTATGTAACATAGTTGTTACATAGGTAATATGCACAATTCACCCATAGAAGCACCCGTCAACTAAACTGATATGAATTGTTTACTTCTATGGCCGGAAACTAAAAATTTAAGTTGAATCCTGTCGAAGGTCATTCGCCCGTGACGATATGACTTGTCCCCCTGAGACCGGGCCGGACCATCCGGCGGCCGACCCAACCGAAGCCGAACTAGAGGGAGTCTACTGTAGACATATTTTATTCATGAATTGGGTACAAACTATACAATGCACATCTCAATCGTCAAATACATTATATGGAGTAGTCTTTAAAACAAAACGAAAAATAATTAGTTAAATCTATTTTACTCTAAAGATTTAAACAAATAAATAATAATATTATGTTGAATGAGATCAGGCAGACAGGAATTCTTCGATACTATAAAACTCGCCTTCCACCAAATAAGTTTTCAGCTGTTTCCCAAAACCTTTAGAACCCAACCTTGAACTGCACTGCTTTACTTCTTCAGGAAGCCTATTAAAGAAAAAGGGGCCCGAAAAATTTGTATTCCTTTCAGAGAGGGTCAGACGATGACATGGAGTACGAAGATCTCCTCCATGCCTAGTGGGGTATCTATGACATTGACCAACCGATGGAATATTCTTCAGATGATTTTTACTGCAGACATTATTGCTCTGTAGATGAATATAGAAGGCAAAGTTAAAATGTTGTTCTCCCGGAAGACTCCCCTGCATGTATGGAGTGGTGGTAAACAATTGAGGATACACACTGTCCTTTTAGCGAATTTCCCTATAGGGAAGTAGCTATTACCGTAGGTGGCACGGTAAGACCTAGACCCGGGACCGATAGACCCGGGACCGATTTACTTTTTCATTTTGATGTTCCCAGAGGCCAAAAACACCATTCGTTCAAATTTTTATATATACATATATATATATAGACTTATATATATATAGACATATATATATATATATATATATATATACGTCCGTGAACGCGATAACTTGAGTAATTTTTGTCCGATTTTGATGAAATTTGGTTTAAAGGTGTAAAGCGGGATAAACTTGGATGAGTTCGCGAACCAGCATGATCGGACAATGGGAACGGGGCTTTACGGGGGGTTTTATGGGGTAAAAATTGGTTTTTCTCACTTTTGCCCCTTAAAAACACAAAATTTCCCAATTTCTCTTTAGACCTTTTTAAAGAGCTTAAAAAACAATTAATTTAGTATATAAAAGTATTTTTGTTCGGTTAATAGTAACGGAGAAAATTAAAAAAATTTTAAATTTAAAATTCCCATGTTATTCTTATGGAGAATATTGTCAAATGTTGTAGTTTGCTTGTTTATGGATATATTTTGTATTTTGATCAAATTTATTTATTTTGTACTAAGCTATCAATATTTTACAAAAAAACACACTTTATTAGTTTCCTTGTAGTAGCAAACCTAGGTACTGGTTAAACCTAATGTTATTAAAATATATTTAATTGAAAATCAATTAAGACAAATGGAAATTCGCTTAGTCGGCAGGTTTGCTGCGGCGGGGGTATTTTGTACAGAAAAGACCTTATCAGCATGGAAAGAACCACCCCAGACTTCAATACCATAAGTCATGACTGAGAAAAAACAACCATAGTAGACTGCAACTAACATTCCCCAGTCAAGAAGAGGTTGCAGTGTCCTAAGTGCATGGCAGATGCGGTTCAACTTGCAACAAAGCTGTGATACATGATTGGACCATGACAACATTTTATCCACAGTTATACCTAAAAATTTCACAACAGAGTACTCTTCTATCTCGAACTTATTCAACGAGACGGTTTCAGGGATCTTATTGAGAGTTAGGAATTGCAAGAAAACGGACTTATATCGGAGTTCAGTCTAAGATTGTTCACCGATAACCAACTTAAAAGCGAACTAACTGACTCTTAACCTCGGGATTGCAAATCGGAGCATGGACCTCCAAACAGTAAGGTTGTGTCATCCGCATAGAATATTGATTTAGCTGAATGAAGATGTGCTGATAGATCATTAATATACGTGATAAAAAGCAATAGTCCGAGAATACTACCCTGAGGAACCCCGAACTTGCATTCAGCGAGATCCGACCGAATATATGAACACGAAATTCAACAACTTAAACAGAACATAAAAGATCTGACACAAAAACACAATGAAGCTAAGCTGGATGAAAGAGAGGAAAATCTGGTTAGTACAAAGCCTGCTGTAGTCCAGACCCATCAATGTGTTATTGGTCACAGTCCTTTCCTCTTAGCTAAACTTGCTCAAATTAAAATGAAACAAAATCAAATGGAACACGTCAATAACACCCTGAAAATGCAGATCAACAAAGAGCTTTCTAACACCATTTCTCCAACAACTCATACAAATTCTTCTATTCCAACACCAAGTTCATTAAAAAATAAAAGGGCTCAAAGAAATCATAATAGAACTAACATATTCAGCGTATCCCTGCAAAATACCTAGAACAAACAAATCACACACTTGCTACTGACTGCCGAGAAAGAACCAGCAAAACCTCCAAAAACACAACGTGGAGAGCCAGACAAACTCCAACGAAAAAACTGCAAATTGAAACAACAACCGGGAGAGTCAGACAAACTCCTACTAAAAAACTGCCAATGGAAACTGCAACAGGGAGAGTCAGACAAACCTACGAAAAAACTTCCAACGGAAACTGCAACAGGGAGAGCCAGACAAACCTACGAAAAAACTTCCAACGGAAACTGCAACAGGGAGAGTCGGACAAACTCCTACTAAAAACTGTCATCTGAGACCTCAACAGAACAAGTATCAACCGGGGAAACCAGCCAAACCCCGCCACAAAAACTGTCACAAGTGTCACA